TTTATTGACCGTAGCGATGGTGCTTCTGGAATTTGCCTTTGGAGAAACAGTTCCGGGCCGCAGCCCATCCCCAGAGCCACGAGTGTCTGTGAACCCCCACCCATGGCACCTCCTTCCACCCGCACGCGAACAAATTCCACGCAACCAGGGCTCTACATGGACCAGACTTTCCTAAGTCAAAGGGGAAGGGCTGAACACAGCCCTAACTCTTCCTAGGTTAGATTTCATTTTGAAGCCAGGCACTGGAGGCTCACACCTGTTGTCCCAGCTATTCAAGAGGCTGAGATGTGAGGATGATGGTTCAAAGCCAGCCTGGGCCAGGAAAGCACTAGAGACTCTGATCTCCAGTGGACCGCCAAAAGGTCGGAAATGGAGCTGTGGCTCACATGGTAGAGCACCAGCTTTGAGCAAAAAAGCTAAGAGACAGCACCCAGGCCCTGAGTTCAAACCCTAGTGCCAGCACACACACACACACACACACACAAGAATGCACATCTTTTTCCTGCCCAACATCAGAAGTGTCAAATCTTGCAGACAGGGCATCTGGCCATCTTTTATGAGCAAGGGCATCTTGCTGTCTGTCTGAATGCCCCTGCATGCATGTCTGTGAGTGGGTTGGCCTTCCATCCACCCCGTGGGCTCTTCCTTCCCCAACTCCATCCCCAGGCGGAGGCCAGCTCTGGAGGCTGCGTTCATAAACACCACAGAAGGTGCTTGGAACTAAATACCAGGGTGGGATGGGGCCAGGGAGGGGAAGACTTTTGCAAAAAACAAAAAGGTCTGGGCAGGTGGCTCATCTGACATGCATGAAACCCTGGGTTTGATTCCTCAGTACCACATACACAGAAAAAGCCAGAAGTGGTGCTATGGCTCAAGTGGTAGAGCGCTAGCCTTGAGCAAAAGAAGCTCAGGGACAGCGCCCAGGCCCTGAGTTCAAGTCCCAGAACTGGGGCAGGGAGAAAGAATGAACAGATCATTTCCACCAACCATCGGCCAGGGCTGTGTCTACACCGGAGAGAGGACTGTGTCATGCGCTGACAACCGAGTGCTACTCTTCCAACGAAGCACAATTACACTAGTAACGGACACCGGGCCGGTATAGATCGCCGGGATGTTGAGCTGACCGGCGGTGCCCTTCCTGCTGCCCGAGACGGGGTTTGATGGGAGTGAGCGCTTCAGCCCCTTTCTCTTTGTTCCTGGTCGGTCCCCCCACACCCCCCCCCCCGGGGAGGAGGGAGAGGCGTGGGAAGGCCACGGGGTGGGCAGCTCTGTGGACGTGTCAGGAGGCGGCCCAGCAACGAGCCACGTCCCACGTGAGTCCCTCCCACACGAGCGTCTGTGTTTCTGTGTCCAGCCTTGTGGGACAAATGCCCAGAGGCCCAGAAGCGTGGGACACCAAGGCCAGTCTGTGCAGCCTGGATGTCCCCTCCCAACGACCCAGACCCCACAGACGGGGCCTGGGGAATGACGGGGGTCACAAGATGGCCTCAGGCACCCAAAGGTCACCGTCAACACGCGTGTCTTTTCTTCGTGTCTTTATTTTGGAGCAGGTCCTGGGGCTTGAACTTGGGGCCCGGGCACCATCCATGAGCTAGTTTGCTAACGGCTGGCGCTCTACCACTTGAGCCACAGCTCCACTCGGGGCTTTTTGGTGGTTTGTTGAAGATGACAGTCTCACGGACTTTCCTGCCCGGGCTGGCTTTGAACCTCCATCCTCAGATCTCAGCCTCCCAAGTGGCTGGGATAATGGCCGTGAGCCACTGGCGCCCAACGCAGGAGTCATCGTTTAATCTTGGCAGTGACTGCACTTTCTAAATAGGGAAACTGAGGCCCAGAGAGGGTGAGTGACCTTTTCAAGTGGTACGGGACGGGAATGGAACCCGAGGAGTCGGACTCCGGGACGTCAGGGTGTTCCACTGGGCCCGACTCCTGACTCAAACGAGTGGCCTGTGGCTCTGCTCAGGGTGGAGATTGGGGGAGCGGGGGATGATGGGAGATGGGGAGGGGGGAGAGAGGGGGGATGAGGGGAGAGGACGATGGGGAGGAACATGGGCCCAGATCCAAAGCCTTCCCACAGGTGTTATCCTAAACTTACATAAACAAGATAACAGCGCCAGCGCCATCTTCCACCGGCTCTAACAACCTGGCTGACGGATTCTTTTTGTTTTAATCTGCTTTTCCATCGCTTTCATCACGAGCCTTTCCAAGTTTGATCTGGCCCAGCCCCGGAGACTCACGTCTGTAATCCCAGCTCCTCACGGGGCTGGGATGGGAGAATCGAGGTTCTAAGCCAGACCCCAAGAGCCCACGAGACTCTTATCTCCAATTAAACTACGGCATCAATAACAACAAAAGGTCCAAACCGGAGCTGTGGTTCAAGTGGTAGAGCGCCAGGCTTTAGCAAACTAGCTTAGGGACAGTGCCGGGGCCCCGAGTTCAAGCCCCAGTCCTGGCACTAAGGAAATAAATGGATCTTTGCTGTCGCCCAGTGGTTCACTATAAGCCTAGCTACTCAGGAGGCTGAGATCTGGGGATCTTTTTGCTCCTTAGTTGGAGATAAAGAACCTGATGGATGGACTCTCCTGCCTAGGCTGGCTTCAAACCTCAAGGGCCCAGCGGCCTCCTGAGGAGCCGGGATTACAGGCGTGAGCCGCCATGCTGGCAACTTCTCAGTATGCTCCCCACCTCTCCTGCCTTGGAGTTCCAGTGGGTCTCACTCGCTTGCTTTGTCCCGCGGTCGCCAGAGAGAACACCACGTATGCGCTTCTGTCCTTGGAACTTTTCCACTTCGTGCCTCCTAGAAATCCTTGCACGTTTGTTCACAGAAGTTGTCTGTGTTTTGTACTTTCTGAGCTGGCCGTAAACTTCAGGACCGGTGCTCGGGCGGGAGTTCCCGGTTCTATCATCCTTACGAAGGAGGCTGACACACGCCTCATATTTGGGGGTCTCTCCCCAAAGATATGAAACTCTGACTGGAGGACAATGCACACGTGATTGGTGGGAAAATGCACACGCGATTTCCACCAAGCTGCGTGGGACGGAGCCCGCCACCCGCCACGCCTCTCGGGAACATTGAAACTCCCACCCCGCGCGTCATAGATGGGGTCCAGTGGCTTTCTGTGTACAGGTCACGGCTATTTTGTCCTCTGTCCTTTTATAGGAATTTGGACCTTTCCTTCCTGTTAAATTAAAAAAGAAAATCTTTTTGAAGCAGGTACCAGGGGCTCACACCTGTCCTGCTAGCTACTCGGGAGGCTGAGATCTGAGGATCACAGTTCGAGGCCAGCTCAGGCAGGAAAGTCTGTGAGACTCTGATCTCCAATAAACCACCAGAAAAACTAGAAGTGGAACTGCATCTCTTTAAGAAAAAAAAAAATTGCTCTGGGACCCGAGTTCAAGCCCCAGTACAATATATAAAATAATATAACAAAATAAAGCTGCCTGTTGGCCTTTGTGTCCCCGTTATGCGAGGTTTATCGGTGAATTCAGGGAGAACCGGACACTGTAGCATAACCGGGCCAGCCAAGAATGAGGTGTCCAATCCCTTCTGTTCACGTTACTGGGGCTAATGCCCAAGGTCCCCGCTGAGAGGTTTACATGACTCTTTCTGGCCATGTAATTGCCCATAGTGATCGCCCATTGTCCTCTGGTGCGCCTGTGGTTGGCTTTCTGCCCAAGCAGCTTAGACTACAGTGAAAGAAATGGACTGAGCCTCCTAGAACCCACCCGCCACACCGTGCTCTCCCACAATCCCAGCCTGCTGGGGCCTGAGGGAGGATCGTGGGTTCTAGGCTGCACAGACTGTCTCAAAGAGAGAGAAGGAGGAGGAGGAGGAGGAGGAGGAGGAGGGAGGAGGAGGGGGAGGAGGAGGAGGGGGAGGGGGGAGGAGGAGGAGGAGGAGGAGGAGGAGAGGAGGGGGAGGAGGAGGAGGGGGAGGGGGAGGAGGAGGAGGAGGAGGAGGGAGGAGGAGGAGGAGGAGGGGGAGGAGGAGGAGGAGGAGGAGGAGGAGGAGGAGGAGGGGGAGGGAGGAGGAGGAGGAGGAGGAGGAGGAAGAGGAGGGGGAGGAGGAGGAGGAGGAGATGGTTTCCATCCTAGATCAAACCACCCAGCTCAGGGGAAAGCTTTGATTCCTTTATGTTGGATGACCAGGATGCATTCCCCGCCCCCCCCCCCCCCCCCCGCCCCTCCATACTCGGGTCATTTCTGGGGATCTTCCTTTGTATTTTCGCCAGGCGCTAAATGAGATACAACTGTCGAGTTCTTCCACACTATGAAATGTGGCTGGTGGGCAATCTTCAGACCATGTGGCTCACTTTGAATTTACAACTGGGGGGGGGGAGGTCCCCCAGAGCCACCTGCACACACACACACACACACTTGAGTAAGCTCCTGCTGGTTCTTAAGTACAATGAAGCCCTCTCGGCCTGTGTGAGTGGTTCACGTTTGTCATCCCAGTTACTGGGGAGGCTTGAGACCTGAGGATGGCGGTTCAAAGCCAGCCCCCAGAGGGGACAGGAAGACTCTTATCTCCAAGAAACCACGAGAAAAAAAGCCAGAAGTGGAGCTGTGGCTCAAATGGTAGAGCACCGGCTTTGAGCAAAAGCAGCTCAGGGAGAGCGCCCAGGCCCTGAGTTCAAGGCCCAGGACTGGCTCAAAAGATGGAGAGCCCGCAGGGGGACACCTGGGCCCCCCTGGCAGGTGGGCATGGGGGGGGGAGAGGGGAGGAGAGGGCGGGGAGGGGAGGGGCAGGAAGGTCCCCTGTGACATCAGCACTGTGACGTCACAGAGCCGGCCCGCCCAGCTCTGCGGGACATCCCGCCCGGCCCCTGCCAGCCTCCATTCACCATCTGACTCCTCTGCGGGCAGAAGGGGGGGAACCTGCTCATCCCCGCCGCTCTGCCTCAGTCTACCTCAGCTGAGCAAGACCCAGCAGACAGACACACAGCACGCCCCGCCGCAGCGCTTCCCCGTGTATGCGCCAGCACCCCCAGCCGACTCGAAATGTTTGTGTCACCCCGAAGGTAAGCTCCCCCTCTCCCCCCAGCACCCCGCCAGCCCCCCCCACACACACCCAGCACCCCCCACCGCCAGCACCCCACCATCGCCTAAGTGAGCTTCACCGTGTCCCTACCTCGGCGAGTTTCCAGAAGCTTCTGTGTCTTTTGCCTCTTTTTCCTCCTCTTCCTCTCTGCCCAGTGCCCCTGGCCACAGCTCTTCTTTTCTTCTTTTATTTTTTCTGTGTGCGGTCACGCGCCACAGACCCGGTCCCCGGCCACACACAGGCCCTGGTCATGACCCCCGTGGTGGCCAGCGTGGAAGATGCTGGCAGAGAGAAAGAGCAGGGAATCACGAACCCACCCCACGTCCCTGCCCTGAGCCGGCTGGCGGGAACCTGGCCTTGGTCTCTGAGAATCTGGATCTTCAGGAATCTTTCTAGATCTTTCCAGAGAGTAAAGGAGGCTAGCCTTGTTCAGGGCTGGGATGACCTGCCTCCTCAGGACAGCCAATGCCGTCCTTTCTCGAATGTCTTTCAGGAACATGAAGTTCAGCCTGGCTGAGGAGCCCCGCACACGTGTGTACACACACACACACACACGCATGCACGCACACACGCACGCATGCAGCAAGAAGGCACAGTGTTGAGCAGGGGGAGGTGGGATGTTCAGAAAGACTAGAAAACCCAGGAGGCCTTGTGGGGCTGGAACAGAACCGGTGTCATTGAAGAGCCACCCAGGGCTTCCCAGACCCTGATGAGCTAGGATGGAGAGAACCTTCCAGAAGCAAAGCTGGGCGTGGGCAGGGGTAGACTTTGACCACTGGTTTTCTGGGAGAATCACAGTGTAGCTGGTGAGCCCCAAGCACCCAGCACCCAGCACCCAGCACCCAGCCCCGGCATCCAGGGCCCAGCACCCAGCACCCTGCCCCGGCATCCAGGGCCCAGTAGGCCCCGCAGTCCGTGCTCCCCCCTTCCATGCGCCCCCTCGTGTACCCCCTTATCCAGTGCACCGGGGGGAGGCCAGGGAAGAATTTGGGGCCCCGTGCCCCCCCCCCGGCGTCTTTAGGGGAACTAGAGGAGGTCGGGCCTGGCTTTGGGGGGTCCACAGGGACCCTGGGCAGTCACGGACCGGGGATCGGGGTCAGGGGTCGGGGTCAGAGGCCGGGGGTCCCCCCCCAGGCAGCAACACAGGGCCGCGTCTGCAGCCCCAACCGTCTCACAATTCAAAACCGCGTCGTCCCTCCGCACCCCGCCGTCACCATGGCAACCACTGCCCAGGGAGGGGGGCGTGGCCAGGAGGTGAGGCTAGGGCGGGGCTGGGGAGGGGCGGGGCATTGTGGAGGGGCGGGGCATTGTGGAGGGGCGGGCATTGTGGAGGGGCGGGGCATTGTGGAGGGGCGGGGCATTGTGGAGGGGGCGGGACCCGAATGAAGGGGAGGGTTTGTGGAAGGGGCGGGGCCTTGCTGAGGGGCGGGGCTTGTTGGAGGCGGGGCCCAGTTGACGGGGCGGGGCCTTGCTGAGGGGCGGGGGCCCGGGTGAGGGTCGGGAGAAGGGGGGGGGGTAGGAGGGGGTGGAAGAGGGTCCCCGGGAAGGGGGGGGGGTCCCCGTTCTTCCTTCGCCTCCTCCGGCTGCGGCGGTGACCCCTGGGCAGGGCCGGCCTGCGGGATGATGGCCGTGCGGCGCCGGGGGGGACTGGGGCCCCCTCCCCTCCGCTGGGGTGAACTGGGGCCCCCCTCCCCCAGGGCCCGGGGACCCCCGTCCCCTCCCCGCCGCAGGGTCACAGTGCCCGGTGGGAAGGCCTTGCCTGGCCATGGGGACGGGGCCTGAGCCCCACCCTACAGTGGAAACTGTCAGGAGTCCTGCAAAACCTGGAAGGTTCTGGATGCGATCATCGGGTGAGCAGTCACCCCGCTGGGAAAAGGACTGGCTCTGCAGTGTTCCTCGAGAGTGTGCGTGTAGAGAGAGACACACACACACAGACAGACAGACAGACAGAAAGACCGAGAGAGAGACAGAGACAGAGACAGAGAATTGTCTGCTCCACACCAGGCTGTTTGGGTTCTATTTGCTGCATCCAAAGCCTGTTTTCCCGTCATGTTCTTGGTGGTGGTTGAAACACAACCACAGCCAAGTGAGCCAAGCCGGGCCTGTCATCCCAGCCACTCAGGAGGCTGAGCTCAGAGGATCGCAGTTCAAAGCCAGCCCGGGCAGGAAAGTCCGTGAGACTCTGATCTCCCAGGAACCACCAGAAAACCAGAGGGTGGCGCTGTGGCTCAAGGGGGTAGAGCGCCAGCCTTGAGTGAAAGAGCTCAGGGACAGCGCCCAGGCCCTGAGTTCAAGACCCAGGACCGACAGGCACACATCTGAGCCACTCCAGCCTTCTCTTAGACAGCAGGAGTGAGTTCAGAGAGTGGCGGATGACAGGGATTAGAATTGGAATTGGGGCTGGGAAGGAGAAACAGACACCCTGTTGGATAGCGTCGCCCCCAGGCTTCCCGGGCCTGGCTCTAGATTTGCATCACCCCTGCCCTGCGGGGCGCTCACCACCGGTGACTCCTAGAGAGCACCCACGGGTGGGTGTGGGTGTGGGTGTTGCACGGCCGTGGTTTCTCCATGCACGTCTGGTAAAAAGTAGATTCATTCTCAGCGCAAGGCAGGCCCAGCCCCTGGTTCTGTGACGTCATAAGGGCTGAAGCACCCCCCTATCCGCAGCCTGGGACACCCCCCATGGGCACCTGCCTGGTACCCCGGGCGGTTTCTCAGACACGGGGGTCTCTGCGCCCCCCACTCCCACCTAGGGCCACTCTAGAAAGCTGCGACTGCACCCCCAGCCCGTCGCGTGCCCCTCGGGTTGTCCAGCCATTACTTTTTGTTGTTGCTCTCCAGGGAAGAAAAGAAAAAACGAACCCTTGCCCCGAGCACAATAAAAGGAAGTGAGCAGGGCGTGGAGGGCCGAGAAATTCGTGTTCTGTCAAAAAAAAGAGGAAATTAGACACTGGGAGTGGGGGGGGGGGGGCGTGACAGGGTCCTGGGGATTGGGGGGGATGGAGTCAAGGCTGGTCATAAACCACGGCTGGCCATGCACCCCCAAAAGGGCCGGGCCGGGGGGGGGGGGGGGGGAGGGGCGTGAATCCAGACTTCACAGAGGCCTACAATAATAATAATAATAATAATGCAAAAATGACTTGTTTAAAGTCAGTAACAGGGTCTTCAGAGCAGGGCCCAGGAAGTTGTGGGGACCCCACAGGGCCAGAGCTGGCTCCATGGGGATCCTGGCAGCGCCCTGCCCCCACGCTTAGGGCCGCCCCCCCCCCTTTGTCCCAGGGAGGGCCGGGAGGGGTGTGGTGGGGGGTGCGGTTTATAGGCCCAGGCCGTAAAAGCGAAGACAGAGGGCCGCGCCAGCCTGTGACTCAGGCAGGAAGTGAGGCGCGGCTGGGAGAATTGGGAGGGAGAAGAATTGCGGCTGTCCCCAGTGGGGTGGGGTGGGGTGGGGTGGGAGTAGGGAGGACGAGACTCAGGAGAGAGGAATGCACACGGATCAGGCCCCACTGCTGAGGAGTGGACTCAATTGCACGCGTGCACACACAAGTGTGGCAGGAAATAAGACTATAATAAAGGGGCCGGTCCCAGGAGGGGCCACAGTGGGCCCTGAATTCCACAAGGCTCACACACACACACACACACACACACACACACACACACACACATGCATGCATGCATGCCTTTCTGGTGCAGGGGGGGTGGCGATGAGGGCCTGGGAAGGGAGTCCCCCTACCCTGGGAAAAGCTGGGAGCAGCCAGCAGCCTCCACCCGGCTCCAGGAGAGGGGGGACAGCGTGAACATGCAGGGGGACAGCGCCCCCTAGTGTCCGGGGCTGGCGGCCAGGCGGCCAGCGGAGTCCCTGCAATGAGGAGCCCTGCCTTTACCTCCCCGTTGGCTCACAGATGGACGGGGCAGGGCAGGGTGCCCTCAGGGTTTTGTCGGATGAGCCCCAGCTGGTGCCATTTTACAAGAATTCCCTAGACGTGGATGGAGAGCTTCCTTTAAAAAAGAAAAAAATAGCAGCCAGGTGCTGGTGGCTGCCGCCCGCTGAGCTCAATACTCAGGAGGCTGAGGTCTGAGGACTAAGGTCCTGGGGCTTGAACTCACGGCCTGGGCGCTGTCCCTGAGCTCTTGGCTCAAGACTGGTGCTCTACCACTTGAGCCATAGCACCATTCTGGCTTTTTGGTGGTTTATTGGAGATCAGTCTCAGACTTTCCTGCCCGGGCTGGCTTTGAACCACGATCCTCAGACCTCAGCCTCCTGAGTAGCTGGGGTGACAGGCGTGAGCCCACTGGTGCCCGGCTTTCCATGAGACTCTTTATCTCCATGGAAGCCCCCAAAAGCCAGATGCAGAGCTGTGGCTCAAGTGGTAGAGCACCAGCCTTGAGTTAGATAGAAGAAAGGGGGAAGAAAAGCTAAGGAGAAACACTCAGGCCCTGAGTTCGAGCCCTGGTGCTGGCACAAGGAAAAGAAAACAGAAAAAGAAAAATGAAAGGAGGGAGGGAAGGAGGGAAGGAAGGAAGGAAGGAAGGGAGGGAGGGAGGGAGGGAGGGAGGGAGGGAGCAGCTGGCTGGGTGGGAATCCCCTCTCTCAGGGGAGGGGAAGGAAGGGTGGGCAGCCAATGGGGGCACCTGCGTCTGTCCGGCCAGGCGGGCACAGAACGCCCTCCCATAAATCAACACGGTTCCAGGTGGAAAGACCTGGTGACCAGTGGCTAGATCCGCTAGATCCGAGCAGCCTTGTCGGTTTGGGTGGAAAATCTTGGCTACGGGTATGTGTGTGTGTGTGTGTGTGTGTGTGTGTGTGTGTGTGTGTGTGTGTGTGTGTGTGTGTGAAAACCTTTCGTTCCTCTGGTTGGGAGTTAGGACTGGACTGTCGTGAGATCCTGCCTCTGCCAGCCTCCCTGGGCCTCCCCTTCCGGTCCTCCATCCACTTGACCTCCTTTGCCTGCCCAACACTTTCATTTCTCTCTTTTTTTCTTTCAAGGTCCAAGATTGGGACTCAAGCTCAGTACCTAACACTTTTTGCTCTTTGGCTAGGTGCTCTACCAACTGAGCCACGCCTCCAGTCCAACCCTTTCAGCTGTCCCTGTGGAGGGAAATCCTTGGTTATCCCTCCTTGAAGTGGGGGGGCTGTGGCTCCCAGACTCTTGGGGCACTCACATTGCGGGGGGTCCCCGAGGTCCATCGAGAGGACCTGTGTGTCGCTGGACAGTCCAGCCCAGCCCTAGGAGATTCAGCAGCTAAATCACCACTTGGACCCCTACTCCTTCCTCCTTTAATCCCGGATCTCCCCCCCTCCCCACCCCCTCAGCTCGCTGGCAGTAATGCCACTAAGCAGCTGGGCTGGAATAGCTCTGTCGATTATCTGTTTAATGCCCTCTGGAAGCCTTTAATCAAGACGCCGGAGGGGTGGGGTGGGCAGGCGGCTGGGCTCCCTCCCTACGTGAAAACGAGAGGGACTGGAGGCTCGGGCAGCATTCTCCCCACCTTCCCTCCTTCCCGCCACAGGACGGAGACCATGGCCAAGGTAACCAGCCTCTTCCCTTCCATTACACTGGAGATAGACTGGGAGGTGTGTCCCCCTGTCAACTACGCGTCCGAGTTCTGGCGCCGGCTGTTGTAATCTCGCTGTGAAGAGCCATGGTAGGAAGGGCGAGGGGTGGCGTAGGCTCCGGGTTCTCTGATGCTCTAAAGAGCAGAGGCCCAGGGTGGGTGTCAGGACTTACGAAGATAGGATTTTTCAGTGGCTCACGCCTGTCATCCCAGCTACTCAGGAGGCTGAGGTCTGAGGATCGAGGTTCAAAGCCTTAGGGAGACTCTTATTTCTAGCAGTCACCAAAAAGCCGGAAGTGGTGCTGTGGTTCAAGTGGTAGAGCGCCAGCCTTGAGTGAAAGAGCTCAGGGACAGCGCCCAGGCCCAGAGTTCAAAGATGGATTTTTCTTTGTGAAATGGGATGTGTTCTTTCTATTGGAGAACTATCTAGATCCTTAGGAAGAGAAAAGAAGCAAGTTGGGCAATGTAGGGAATGGGTGTTGATGGGTCTTGGGAAAGTTCTTGAGGGAGATTCACTTCACAAGATTCCGTCGTCAGCCGAGCACGGGAATACAGGCCTGTAATCTAGCACCAGGGAGGCACAAGCAGGAACACTGAGCTGCTGGGAGCCACCAGCCTGGTGAGCTTCAAGCCAGCCTGGGCTAATCTTTCGAGACAATGATTGGTGAAGGACCTCCTGGCATCTGTCGGGGTAGAAGCTTCTAGAAGGAATTGGTATGAGCTATCCAACTCCTTCATCCCCGGTTCCGGAGGAATCGCCCCCTTTCCTAACTTGGTGTAACTTGTGATGGGTCGAGTGTGTGGAGTTAACATCTGATGTGATTGGTGGGAGAGAAATTTCCAGACAGTGGGGGGCGGGGGAGGGGGGAACGCAGCCCTGCCTTAAATCCTGAGCTCATTCTTCTGCAGAATAGCAGTTGCCGCTCCCCCCCCAAAACACCATGGGCCATGGATGCACGTGTGACCCATAAGATCTGGGGAGGGGTGGGGGCCACCTGGGAGGCTGAGATCCGGAGGATCGAGGTTCAAAGCCAGCCCGGGCAGGAAAGCCCATGAGACTCTGACCTCCGATGAACCACCAGAAAACCAGAAGTGGAGCTGTGGCTCAAGCGGTAGAGCACCAGCCTTGAGCAAGAAAGCTCAGGGACAGTGCCCAGGCCCTGAGTTCAAGCCTCAGGAGGGACCAAAATAAGATTTGTGGGTTGGGGGGCATGGTCAGGGCGTGCTGCGTGGGGCGCCGGGGTGGGGCTGGCCGGTGGGCGTCTGTCTCGGGTCGCTCTGGGGACCGCGCTTCTGTCTGGGCTGCTAGATGACCGGTACGCACCGTGTTAATCCCCGACGATGAGGGCTGTGGCTCCAGGCTGAGCCCCGATCGCTGGTCATGGGGGGGAGAGGCGGGGGGTGGGGGGGGATTTGTGGGCTTCATTACCGGCTGCGGTCTTAGGCACCCTGATCTCCAAGGCTAAGCCGATGGAGCCCCCATGGCTCCTGAGAGCTCAGATGGTTTGTTTTACGAAGCATCTGTGAGCTGCCCAGCTCCAGCTTCTGTCCGGTTCTGTTCCGGTCCATTCCGGATTCACCCATGGACCCATCAAGTGCCGTCCCGGTTACAGCGTGCCAACAGGGTATTAATACATGGAGGCTCTGGCCCAAGCTGCACAGGGCTGGGGGGTGGGGTTAGGGCTGGGAGTGAGGCTGGGGGTGGAGGATCCGTCGGCTGAGGCCGGCCGGGAGCACGGTGCTGACCACACTTGCTCCCTCTTGCCAGCTGTGCCCAGTAGAGGGCGCCAGTGGAACCTCGGGGGACCTAAAGACTCCCGTGACCGCCTCATAATGTGGCCAGGGGTGAGCCTCCTGGCATCTGTGACTCCCCTGGTCTGGGCCTCCGTGGCCAGGTCTCCTCTGGTCTGGGCCTCCTCTGGGGTGTGGGCCTCCTCTGGTCTGAGCCTCTGGGATCTGAGCCTCCCCTGGGGTCTGGGCCTCCTCTGGTCTGGGCCTCTGGGGTCTGGGCCTCCTCTGGTCTGGGCCTCCTCTGGTCTGAGCCTCCTCTGGGATCTGGGTCTCCTCTGGTCTGAGCCTCCTCTGGGGTCTGGGTCTCTTCTGGAGTCTGGGCCTCTTCTGGGGTCTGGGTCTCCTTGAGTCTGGGCCTCCTCTGGGGTCTGGGCCTCCCCTGGTCTGGGCCTCCTCTGGTCTGGGCCTCCTCTGGTCTGGATCTCCTCTGGAGTCTGGGCCTCCTCTGGGGTCTGGGCCTCTCCTGGTCTGGGTCTCCTCTGGAGTCTGGGCCTCCTCTGGTCTGGGCCTCCTCTGGGGTCTGGGCCTCCTCTGGGGTCCGGGTCTCCTCGGGTCTGGGCCTCCTCTGGGGTCCAGCCTCCTCGGGTCTGGGCCTCCAGGGTTGGGCCTCCACGGGGCTAGGCCTCTGGGGTCTGGGCCTCCGGGGTTGGGCCTCCGCGAGGCTGGGCCTCCACAGCCGGGCCGAGACTCACCGCTGCTCCCCCCACAGATGGAGCTCCCGCAGGGCCCCCCTGGCCAACGCGCCCGCCTGCCTGCCCTCCTCAGCCTGCTATCACTCGGCCTCTCCGCAGCATCCCTGCTCAGCGACCGGTGGTTTGTGGGCACACAGAAGGTGCCCAAGCCCGTGTGCGGGAAAAGTGTGGCAGCCGAATGCCCTGAGCTGCCAGTGCCCCTGGACGGGGATGTCACCAACGCATCCGCCGCGGCGGTGGTACAACTCAGCTGGGCGGCTGGGGATGACGGCTTCGCCTTCCCTGCCTTCCACAGTGGCCTGTGGCTATCCTGTGAGGAGACCGTGGAAGGGCCAGGTGCGGGCCGCAATCCCGGGCGGGGGGGGGAGAGGGGGGGGCGGGGGGGGGGACGGGGGGGGGACAGGCATCCACGCAGACAGCTCAGAACAGGCCCCCACTCCACAGACGTGAGAGCCGGGCTCGGCGGCGCACGCCTGTCATCCCAGCCCCTCGGGGGTGAGGGGAGGCTGAGATCTTGAGGACCGTGGTTCGAAGCCAGCCCAGGCTGGGGAGTCTTGTGAGAGATGATGGTCTCCAATGAACCGACGCCAAGCTAGACGTTGGGGGTGTGGCCCGAGCGGCAGAGCGCCGGACTCGGGTGACAAAGCCGCACACGCGCGTGTGTTACAGGGGAGAAATGCCGAAGTTCCACCGAACTCACACCACCAGCCCAGAGAGGTGAGAAAGGATTACTGGAACCTTCCACGGTGCAAGGCCCACGTGACGCCCCTCTCCGACCTGGAGGGGAGCGGTTAACGGAGATGTCCCTCCTCCCCCACCCCCCCTCGGGGCGCCCGGCAAGTATGTACCCCCCCCCTCCCACCGCCCTCCCCCCTTCCCACCTCCCTCCCCCCCCCCCCCCGCCTGCCCACCCATGGCGTGGGCTTCTCCAGATCTAGGCGGCCCTGTCACCCCTCCTCTCTTCCTTCCCTCAGGGTGAGGGAAGTGCTTCCTAGAGCTGACCTGCAGCCCGAGGCAGGGATGCAAACCAGCGGGGGGGGGGGGGGGGGGACCAGGGAGAAGGGAAGGTTCCAGTGCAACATCCACCCCCAGCTCCAATGGGCCACCTTGGAAAAGCCTAGAATCTCCCCCCCCTCACCCCACCCCACACACCACATACTGCCGATTGCTTTCCTTTTGTCAAAAAAATGAAAAGGAAGCTGGGCTCCCGCCTGCCATCCCAGCTGCTCAGGAGGCTGAGATCTGAGGATCGCGGGTCAAAGCCAGCCCAGGCAGGAAAGTCCCTGAGACTCTGATCTCCAATGAACCAGCAGAAAACCAGAAGTGGCGCTGTGGCTCAGGTGGTAGAGCGCCAGACTTGAGCCAAGAGCTCAGGGACAGCGCTCAAGCCCCGAGTTCAAGCCCCACGACTGACAAAAATTAATAAAAATAAAAAGGAAAGCAATGAAGCGGGGGAGGTGGAAAGAAAAGAGAAACAAAACCAAACCAATGGGGCGCCGGTGGCTCCCGCCTGTCATCCCAGCTACTCAGGAGGCTGAGATCTGAGGATCTTGGGTCAAAGCCAGCCCTGGGCAGGAAAGTCCAATGAGACTGATCTCCAGTGAACTAGCAAAAATCAAACTGGAGCCATCCAGTGTGGAGCCATGGCTCAAGTGGTAGAGCGCCAGCCTTGAGTGAAAGAGCTCAGGGACGGCGCCCAGGCCCTGAGTTCAAAACCTAGCTAGCATGGGCACAAAGGAGGAAAGGTGGGGGGGCAAAGCCCCCCAGAGGGGGAGGTGAACCGTGAACACCAGGTTTTGCACACGGCCCTTGGTTTTGCACACGGCCATGCGCAAAGGCAAGCCGTTCCCCGGTGGCGGCGGCGGCCTCTCCTCTGCGGCGTCCGTGGCGCGTGACCACGGGCGCCATGTCCCCTGTGTCCCCCCCGCAGCCATCCTCTGTCTCGCCCTGGGGTCCCAGGCCGCCCACCTCGGCCTTGAACTCCTCAGCGTGGTCCTGCTGCTGAGCCATCTGCTGCTGGCGCGCCGCGCGGGCTGTGGGCTGCAGCTCAGCGCCTTTGCCGCCGTCTGCTCTGTCCTGTCGGGTGAGGGGCACAGGCCGGGCGGGGCGGGGGGGTCACCGTGGCCAGCAAGGAGACGCCCCCCCCTTTTAGATTGCCCCCCCCCGGCCCCGGGAGATGGGGAAGAGGAGGGTGATGGATGCTAGGCCCAGTTTCATGCAGGATGATGGCGGGTAGCTTCCAGATAGCAGTCTCTCAGGCTCGTCCTCACATTCCCCCCTTTTCCTTGTCCCCCGTTACCTCCCCACCCACCGACTGCAGGCCTTCTGGGCATGGTGGCCCACATGATGTACTCGCAAGTCTTCCAGGCAACCGCCAACCTAGGTCCGGAGGACTGGAGACCCCACGCTTGGACTTACGGCTGGGCCTTCTAGTGAGTGCCTGCCGTCCCGGCCCCCTGGGCCAACTCCCCACCCCGCCCCCCACCCGGGCAGCACCCCCCCCCACCTTGGTCTGTGGAGGAAGCGGGGTGCTCATGCTCGGTCGTCTGCTCCTGCCCCTAGCACAGCCTGGCTCTCGTTTACCTGCTGCATGGCATCGGCCGTGACCACCTTCAACACCTACACCAGGACGGCGCTGGGGTTTGCGGGTGGGCTCCACGGGGGCTTCCACGCCGCGCCGCGCCCCTGCCTTCCCCGGCAGCCTCCCTGCGCGCCGCCGCCCGAGGGGCCCCCGCGCGGCTGCCCCCTGTGCCACGAGCCGCCCGTGCGCTCCGTGTCCGCCGGCGTGGATTTCCTCGTGGCCGCCCAGCAAGCCGGTGGCCGGGGCCCAGGGGGCCCCACGGGAGCCTCCGTGGAGGAGGAGCAGTGCTAGGGTTCCGGGGTGTGGGGAGCAGGCTGGATCGTTACCAACATCTGCTTAAGCCGAAGCCGGTCTTGCACGCGTGATTTGTTTGAGTCGTAACCACCGCAAGGCCGGGGGGGCCGTCCAGCTCTGTCCCCCCGGGACTGCTGGGGGTGGGGCGGGGGGCTCGGGGGGGGGGTAGACGCCGGCCTGGCAAGCCCCCAATCCTGAATTCACATCCTAGTAACCCCCACAAAACCCCTCCTCCTTCTAAGGGTCTCAGAAACCCAGTGATGGCCGGGCACTGGTGCTCACGCCTGTCATCCCAGCTTCTCAGGAGGCTGAGATCTGAGGATCCTGGCTCAAGGCCAGCCCAGGCAGGAAAGTCTGTGAACACTCTTAACTTCATGAACCACCAGAAAACTGGAAGTGGAGCTGTGACTCAAGTGGTAGAGCACCAGCCTTGAGTGAAAGAGCTCAGGGACGGTGCCCAGGCCCTGAGTTCAAGCCCCAGGACCGACAGAAACAAAAACAAAGAACCCAGTGATGCCTTTAGAAATGGGAAGAACAGAGGTGACCCCAACAAATGAACCGATTGCTCTGTGGCAGACCCAAGAACATGGCAGACCCCCCCCCCAGCTCCCACACACACACCACATCCCACAGGGCAGGTGCCAGTAAGAGGGACCAGTAAGAGCTCCCTAGTCTGGGAGCCCCTGGGGAAGGTGGCCAGGCGCTGCCCACGGGGCCAGGCCCCCGCCACCCCCGACGCTCAGGAAGACCAGCACGGCCCCGCACGTGCAGCTTGAAGCATTTATTTTTGTGGTTCCAGTTCACAGTTTAGAGCTCACTCCCATGAGGAGAGGCGGGGGGGGGGGGGGGAGGGAGGGGAAGAGGGAGGGCCATTCACATTGGGGAGGGGTGGCTGGGGGGCGGGTGCGAGGGGAGGGAGAGACCGGGAGGAGGCCTTATTTGTAAGCAGTGGTTCTTCACTGGCAGCCCGGAGCTGGGACTGCAGGCAGAACTTCCTTCCTTGCACTGGGAAAGGACAGTGTGTCCAAGCTCCAGCCGTCGCTGACGTGTTCTGCACTGGCTTTCAGAAGGAGCTAGAGGGCTGGGCAGGGGCTCAGCGGTAGAGTGCTCGCCTAGCATGCATGAAGCCCCAGGTTGGATTCCTCATGTACCACACACACAGGAAAAAGCTGGAAGTGGCGCTGTGGCTCAAGTGGTAGAGCACCAGCCTTGAGCAAAAACAAAGCAGCTCAGGGACAGCGCCCAGGCCCTGAGTTCAAGCCCCAGGACCGGCCAAAAAAAAGAAAAAAGTAGCTAGAGATCACTATTGTGGTCAGGACAGATTTAAACCTCCAGTAGGGGGAATAACTTCCTAACAGAATTCACGACAGTGCACTTCAAGCTGCCTCTGAGATTCACGCTGGTGGACACACGGGCTTCCGGAACCGCATGGCCGGCTCCCCGGGACGCCCAACACCACGGGGTACAGGCAGTGCCTGGGCCACCACTTTGGGGGTTTGGTCCTCCACAGATTAGTCCTGAGAAGTCTAAACTAGACAGCATCCAAGCCAAAGGCACAAACAAGTTCACTCAGACCCCTAGGAGTGGGTCTGGAATCTTCTCTGCTCTCTGGGGGGGGAGGGGGGGGGCTCTGACTTCCACACGTGATGTCTACAGGGTTGAAAGCCGTCTTAGGGACAAGGTGCCAGTCTCTGCCCGGAGAGAGAGGCCTGAGGGGCGTGGCCTCACCCCTGCCCGGAAAGATGGGCCTGAGGGGTGGACAATGTGCGGGCCAGGCCTCACCCCTGCATGGAGAATGGCCGCCACTGTCACCTGCCGGGGGAGGAGGGGCAATTAATAGATTCAATTTCTGGATTAATAGAATAGATTGGATTTCCTGAAGTCCCTTTATTAACCTAAGCTAAGAGGGATTGAGGCCCGCAGTGTCCTGATCTCTCAACCGTTTCCCATCGGCCATCACGGGATTTTCTACCCCACACACCATGGCCTAGAATTTTGGGGGACTTGAGCTTAACAGAGGAAACATCTAGAGATCATTCCAGAAAGATTCATCGTTAGAGTTGAGCCGGGCGCCGTGCCTCACACCTGTCATCCCAGCTACTCAGGAGGCTGAGCGCGGAGGATCAAGGTTCCAAGTCAGCGTGGGCAGGAAAGCCCTCGAGATGCTTATCTCCAATTAGTCACTAAAAAGCCAGCGGTGGTGCTGTGGCTCAAGTGGTAGAGCGCTAGCCTTGAGTGAAAAGGGACAGCGCCCAGACCCTGAGTTCAAGCCCCAGGACCAATACACACAACAACACACAGACAAAAATGTACATAAGAGCTTTCTCAGAGCACAAAGGCCCTGTGAGAAAGAAGTACAGAGCAAAAATGATTGCACACAGGACTCAAGTGGTGGAAGGAAACAGCTAGAAACATATCCCTGAATAGAAGACAAGGGGAGGGGGGGGGGAAGGGGACCAGAGAGGCAGAGGACGGGCGCAGCAGGACCAGGCCCCAGGCTGGGGGGTGGAGGGGGAGCCCCACCTTCCAATGAGCTCACAAGGACGGCATGCCGGGGTGCTGGGGGCCTGGGCTGTACACGCGTGTGGCAGGTGTGCCCTCGGGCCCCCGGGCCGGGCAGGGCCAGCCACGGGGAGCAGGGCCGCAGGCAGGATGCTGGACAGACAGATGGAAAGTCGGGGGGGGGTCTGCGTGGCCCCCCCATACGTCCCCACACTGCAGGTGGAGAAAGGACACGGGGGTGGCGACCGGTGGTGGCCCTCAGAGCGGGAGGCTGGCCACCGGAAGCTTCTAGAAGCTGCTGGATGACTACTCCGGAGGTAATTCTAAAGTGGTCCCCAGAGCAGGGCGCCCCGCCACACCAGCAGATCCATGCACCACACAGAGCAGGCACCCAGAGTCTCAGCCCCCCCCAGATCCCCAGGAGAGCTTATAAATTAGACATCGAAAATAAAATAAAATAAAACCCCATAAGATTCACATTTCTCAAGTCTGTCCACAAAGTTCCTGGGGGCTCGCGCGGGAAGGAGCCGGTCAGGGCTGGAGTGCACCGACCGGGCGACAAACAGGCCCGGACTCCCAGAGCAGCGCTCATGCCAACAGGGGCTACCCACGCGGCTCCCCACTGCAGCCCATCTGGCTAGACCTGCAGGAAAAGCACAAGCGTGTGACTTCCTTCCCACCCCCACGGAGAGAACCCCAGAGTCACAGAGGACACCCCAAGCCAGTGCCACCCATCTCCTGTCCTTCCATTCCATCCCAGGGAGCAGGGGCAGCTCCCCCCCCACACACACCAAGGCCCATGTGCAGCTAAGGACGGACTATGCTAGAGCTGGGCATCGGTGCTCACGCCAGCCATCCCAGCTACATGGGAGGCTGAGATGTGAGGATCTTGGTTCAAAGCCAGCCCGGGCAGAAAAGTCCATGGAACTCTTATCTCCAGGGAACTACAAAAAAAACTGGAAGTGGAGCTGTGGCTCAAGTGGTAGAGTGCTAGCCTTAAACAAAAAAACTCAGTGCCCAGGCCCTGAGTGTGAGCCCCAGGATGGGCACAAACCGTGTCACTAACCCCTACCCAGAAAACACCAGCAGGGCCTCCACTCAGCCACGAGCCCCGGTCACCCCGGGGTGGGGCTGGCGGCCATCATGACCGGCCCAGGGCTCAGTGCCTGCTGCAGTGAGGCCTAAGTGTGGAGCCCATGGCCCAGCCTGAGCCTGAGCCTGGGCTGATCCTGAGCATGCAGCCCACAGGCGTGGCCTGAGCCTGGGTCTGGGTCTGGGTCTGGGTCTGGGTCTGGGCCTGGGTCTGGGCCTGAGCCTGAGCCTGGGTCTGGGTCTGGGCCTGAGCTTGGGCCTAGATCTGGGTCCGGGCCTGAGCCTGGGTCTGAGCCTGAGCCTGGGCCTAGGTCTGGGTCTGGGCCTGAGCCTATGCCTAGGTCTGGGTCTGGGCCTGAGCCTGGGCATAGGTCTGGGTCTGGGCCTGAGCCTGGGTCTGGGTCTGAGCCTAGGTCTGGGCCTGAGCCTGCATCTGGGCCTGAGCCTGGGCCTA